AAACCCTATACCCCAAACCCTAAAGCTTTAAAGTGGTGCAGAAACCCAGGTCCAGCGGCCCCACTCGTTGCTGGGCCACCAAACCTGAGGCAGGACGGTGGGCTGCGGCTTAGTTCAGGATTTAAACTCTAAGCTAGGGTTTAGGGTTTAGGGTTTGGGAGGATGCTGACATAGATGCACTTCACGAAAGGTAGTTTACTAAACAGGGGGGAGAGCGAGAGAGAGAGAGAGAGATACATGTATACGTGTGTGTACATATATATATATATGTATATATATATATACACATATGTATGTATGCATGCATGCATATGGATGGTCTCATGTTTCGATAGTCCAATGTTGTTGTCAAGGGTTTCCATTCTTTAGTGCGGTGTATTATGGTCTTGTGACTTTTGGCAGTCCATCCATAGAAGAGCAGCTCTTTTGCTTTCCTGAACGTACCGAGATGTTCGAGGTGGGGAGAGCAGGATCAAAAGTGTGGAGCTGAAAAGAAATCTGTTTTTGGTCTGAGTCGATCGCAAAACTGGTGATACTGGCATTTGACATCATGGTCAGCAGGCTTCATGCAGGTCCTGAAGCTTGAATGGGGCAGGATCTACAGCTCGAAGTTCGAAACAAGAAGCCTTACACCTTAAATACCCTTAAGCCCTACAAGCCCGACCTGCAAACCCTAAAGCCCTGAACCCTAAAACCCTAAAACCCTAAACCCTAAACCCTGAACCTTAAGTTCCTTAGCGAAAGGAGCACAACAAAAACTGAACCCCAAACACCCCAAGCCCCAAACCCCATCAACTCGAGCAGTCCGGCTTGTAATCTTTCCCAGGCCATTTAAAGGCCTCCACTAAAGGAACCCCTTAAAGGCCTCCTTTAAAGGAACCCCTTAAAGGCCTCCATTAAAGGAGCCCCGGCCTCCATTAAAGGAGCCCCTTAAAGGCCTCCGTTAAAGGAACCCCTTAAAGGCCTCCGTTACAGGAACCCAAAAAGGCCTCCTTTAGGGAACCTTTAGAGGAGGCGGGAAATGGGAAGCTGGCTCTATCTTAATTCATACGAACCTAGGCCTAAACCCTAAAGCGCCTAAACCCTTGAATCCCCCATACCCCGAAACCCTTATTCCGTTAAGTCTGTGTTCTCTTCTTAGACTCGTTTTGGTGCTGACTACTATAGGGGCCTCAATAATTCCAATAGGGTTTGGGGGGTATATTACCCTATAGCTTTGATAAGGAACACCCCAAAACCCTATTCTAATTATAAAGGCCCCTACATTACTTCAAACCTCAGGTGTAGGTGTCATGCATCCTTCGATGCTTCAAGGTTACTGTTACAGCGAGGAGCGGTTTAGGGTTCAGGATTTAGGATTTAGGGTTTGTCGGTTTAGGCTTTCGGGTTACGGAGCCTGAAGGTACGATCGTGCATCCTTTCTTCCTGTAGTACTTCGTAGTAGCATCCCTGCGCCGTCTTCATGTACCCTTGCACGACCCCTGTACTCTAAAAACTGCTCTATAGAGGATGATCGCTCTCAGCCTCGATCAACCGAAAAACATATATGTATGTACATATTCATATACGCATACAAGTTTTGGGATATCCACTTAATTTTGGGCTTGACGAGGTCGCATGATTACCGCTGGCTAGCAGCTACCCGTCGACAACAGCTGCCTGCTTCGTGTACTTCTTGTGTAAGAGATGCAATGTCGGTGCAGAGTCACAACAGGTCCCGATTTTGTTGAACCCGCTCTTTACGGTCCAAACCCTAAACCCTAAATCCTACCTAAATTAGGGGATTTTGTAGGTCCCCAGTATAGTACGGCACCCGCATAAAAAGGGCCCTACAAAGGGACCCTAACTTAGAGAACTACCACTATTTCTCAAAGGGAAGTCTACTTTGGCCGTGTATCAGACGCCGGCCCGGGCCTCGTTTAGTCTGGGACATTTTTCAGGTGGGGAGTTTAGGGTATGTAGGGCTTCTAGAAGGAAGGCTTCCATAAGGTGTATAGACTTTCTATACGGCTCATAACGGTAACTACCCGCCTGAAAATGTCCTAGATTTAGACGACCCTGAAACAGTGACCCCTTGTCTTCCTAAGCCTCCACATTCTGAAGTCTGGAAGTCTCGAAGACGAGGGTTGTAATTTAGAATTTGCATGCCTGGTAGTGGGGTTGTAAGTTTCTTTTCAAGTCTGTGTCAAGAAGACTTTTAATGAATCGGATTAAAGCAGTCTTTTTTCTTTCAGCTTTCTCTCCACGAAAGCAGGTCAAAGCCGTGGCCGCGAACAGCGGCGTGTCATCTGAGTTCTCTGCATGTATTGCGCTCTCACATACAGAAAGCCTCTTTGTCCAAGGGCTTTCCGTGAGTGGAGCAGCCATTGTTAATGAATCTGCAGGGAACGGCATTCCAGTGTCATGGCGAGTTAATGATCATCGTGGCATTATACACAAGCATCACTAGCCACAGCGTTACTCTCATGTTCAAACCTTGAACTGCCCTGTATGAATGTTTATGTATGTATGTATGTATGTATGTATGTATGTAGGCATGTATGTATGTATGTACGTATGT